CACACACACACACACACACTCACTCACACACACACACACACATGTCACTAAAACGCGCACAACACATTCACACACACACACACACACGCACTCACTTAACACACACACGCACACGCACTCACACACATGCACGCACACACACACACACACACACACACACTCACACGCACACACACACACACACACACTTGTATGCAGAACATATGTGCTGCTGCTTCTGTTGGTTGTGTAACCCTGCTTAGCGAGAGAAAGCGGTCCATCAGAGCCGAGCAGCGGGAGTCTAACCTCGCTCAAGTACACCAGCGCTTTCACTGGAGTCTGTGTTCTTAGATAACAGCGTGTTTGCCTAACCTATGATCTAATTACTTTTGTTTATAACATCTGAGTGTGGGTTGCAGAAGTGAATTCTGCATCAGCTGGGTTCTCTCTACAGCTGCAAATCCAACATTTCATCATGATACGATCTGAACATACAGTGTGTGTGTGTGTGTGCTTTTTGCATGAGCAATTTATGATATATTAATGCAGAACAGAACATTTTTATTCGAAAACATGTCTGATTTGTACAAATCCCTGCACAATCATTTAATCCTGAATTCCACAGACTCAAATTGAAAGGCATTTGTTTGTGGTTAGTAAGATACATGTATAAAATGTATGCAGTACATGAATAATTGTGCGTGCGTCTATTAATCATTTTGAGTCTAATATCATCCCATAGTTGTGTAACCCTGCTTAGCGAGAGAAAGCGGTCCATCAGAGCCGAGCAGCGGGAGTCTAACCTCGCTCAAGTACACCAGCGCTTTCACTGGAGTCTGTGTTCTTAGATAACAGCGTGTTTGCCTAACCTATGATCTAATTACTTTTGTTTATAACATCTGAGTGTGGGTTGCAGAAGTGAATTCTGCATCAGCTGGGTTCTCTCTACAGCTGCAAATCCAACATTTCATCATGATACGATCTGAACATACAGTGTGTGTGTGTGTGTGTGTTAAATATATTAAAATATTTGTATTTCCATCTAAATGAGTTAAATACTTTTTTAAGATAGCTTTTCTCAGAAAAAAATAATTTCCACTGACCCCCTAGCAGTCCCTTGTAAGATGTATTATTTATTTTAATTACATTTATTTATTTATTTTACTCATTTTTATTTATTCTAATGATATGTTTTTATGTAGTTATTTATTTATATTAAGTTATTTTCTTATATCTATTTAAATATTAATTTAGGTCTAAAATATAAAATCTTAAATATAAAAAAAATCTTATTTTTATTTATTTTTTTACACTGATTTTCTGTAAACTTTTCCCATGCACCCCCGTTTTTAATTTATTTTAATCAAATTTATTTCTGTATTTATTAGAATTTCTTTATTTTATTATTTATTATTCATCCATTATTTTAACCAAATTTAGTTAATCATATCTTCTTTTTTTTTTATCTTACATTTTTTACACTGCTTTTCTCTAAACTTTTCTCACACACTGTTAGATTAATCACCGTTAATAATTTTCTCCATGCATTTTTTTTCTCCTTCTAGAGCATCCCAGTGCTGTCCAAAGCATTGCATCAGCGAACATCTCCAGAACTTCATGTTCCCCGACTGAACCACGGCCAGAAGCTCTTGTGCATGTGGCGAAGAAGCCAAAAGTCTCAGAGGACGATGAGCTGGAGGAAGGGGAGATCCGAAGTGATGAAGAGGATGATGATGATGATGATGGTGTCAATAATGACACTAAGAAAAAGATACCTGTAATGCATGATGATGAGGATGATGACAGTGATGAAGAAGAACCGAATCTAGAAGTGGAGATGAAGGACTGTCCTCCTCATAACAGTGTTCAGGACACTCAGGTGGATGATGGGAACCAGAACAAAGAGGTTTCAGTGAACATCACCAGCAAAACTGAAGAAATGATGACGGTTTCTCAAGATCCTGAAGAAGCCGACAGCACTCAGACTTTCACTGATGATGGTAGAAGTCTGTGTGAAGACGATACGTTTGATATTTCCCCTCATGAATGTCAGAAAAACATTGATTCCAGCGCTGGACTTCCAGAAGATGATGGTGTTCAAGAGAAAAATGGTGCAAATTATGACAAAGAAGGACAGACCGACTCCTGCATCGGTCAGAGTTCACCATGTGAAGAACATTCAGAAACGAGTCAAACTGAAGGCCAGGAAAACATGCATGGAGAAAACACTGCTGTTTATTCCAGTGCAAGTGAAAATCAGGCTAATAGCAAAGGAGCCAAAAGTCCTGATGTGTATGCGATGTTAACGGTCCTGTTATCCAACAGACTCGACCCAGCGCCTGATAACCAGACAATAGCAGATAAGGCTTCAGATGAAGACAGTAGCAGACAGTAATGGTTGCGAGGCGATGGACTGTTTTGGCGACTGATAAGTGATATCAGACGTGTGTTCATGGAGACAGACAAACGCTGAACATTCCTCATAGAGCTCACGCTGTTATCTGCTTCAGAAAATGATGGAAAAGGAGTTGCAAATGTTATATTTCTCTTCTGAAATCAAGATCATGTATACTGTGAAATGTGTTCATCTGTGCTTTCATCGTGTGCCCTCCAGTTGCATCGGAAGGTTTACTTTGATTGACAAAGCATCCGGTCTGTGTATTTATGTGACAGTATTTTTATGCCCCGTTCCTTTTTAATAAACTTCTGAATCTCTTTGTGAGTGATGCCAGTTCCGAGTCTTTTGTTTGTGATTTTTGTGCACACTTAAAGGAACCGTTCAGCCAAAATTGTAAATGCTGAAAATGTGCTCCAGCCATCCAAGATCCTCTGCAGTGAATGGGTGCCGTCAGAATGAGTCCAAACAGCTGATAAAAACATCACAATAATCCATTCTGACGGCACCCATTCACTGCAGAGCATCCATCCAGCAAATGTTCAGTTTTGGCTGATCTATTCCTTTAAATTCCTTCAGCTGAGTGTATGTTATTGTTCTCATTTTTTAGTGTTTATACCTGCTGAGAACCTGGCTGTGATTAAATACTTGCTTATTGCATAAAGTATGTACTTATACACTTATACTAAGCTGTTGTATATTATACACTTACGTTAGAAATAGTGTGTGAAACAATAATGCACTAACTTGTTTACCTTTTTTCCATCAGGAAGCACTGACCTCACTGTTAATTCATTCTTGCATATGGAAGATTCATTCGGGATGCAGTTTTCCATGCAGTGCATTCAATGTTGGTACTGTACTTCAACCAAACGTAGACTTATTTTATTTCGGTTAGTTGCAAAGGCAACATTTCTATTTTCGTTTAGGTTTTTTAAGTTTAGGTTTTCAATTACTGAAATTATTTTTAATAGCTTTAGTTTTAGTTAACAATAACAACATAGTCAGCCACGATTTTCTCTCAAAGTAATTGATTGTATAATCAAAAGTGTCTCCATATGCATGTGGCTGAAAAACAAGAGGGACTGATGACGTCCTCTGAAAAGCAAAGTCGTTCCAGATGGTTTTTTTTCCTACAGAATAATGTGCACTGATGAATCATTCAAAGCAAGACCGGGAACATTTTGTTTTGCCTTCATGTTGACCGTAACGTGTTTATTAGTGTATTTGAGGGCACGGGCTGGTAAAGTTCAAGTATTTTCTAACTCTAGATGGGTATTTTTAGGGCACTGAGAGCGTGTTCTGTTCATCACGGGTGAGATTAAGCTGTTTTACGCTAAAACGATCACCGCAAACAGGAAGTCCAGCACAGAAGTGCTACTGTGATAAATACATTCTGACCTCGTGTTACTGTTGAGTGTTTTTTCCCGAGCCAGTGGGAGAGAGAAAAAAAGCGGCTAGACGGAGAAAACCACTCTTCAACAGTCTGTACCAGGG